TCACCAGCGTAGGACCAAGGGTTTAAATTCATGACCCTATGGGGGACATTTTCCATCCAAACCATAACAGTCATCAATAAAGTATCCAACGTAAGGAACTTGGGTGGCTTTTGTGTGATTTTTTTTTTTTTTTTTTAATATACTTACTGTCCAAACTGGTGCCACGGTGGAGCAAAGTGTTTTGAACTTTCATTTAACAATTGTTTTTGCTTTGCTTATCTCAGATTGCTGATCTACCAGAAGTAGGAGGTAGTGTTTTGATTTGTAAGGTATGGCTACATAGCTGGGCTATTTTTCAACACACAATCTTCCCGCCTCGGCTTCTTCAGTGCTGAGATTACTGGTGGTGTAGACCACCCCTAGCCCCAGTTGAAAGTTATCAGAGTTCTGTCACCTGACTTAGTCTCTTTCCTCTGTGCTGTCCAGAGATTACTTCAGTGCAGGATTTTCATTCCTTTAGTCTGGGAATTCATCCTTTCTTCTCTGACATTTTCTTAGTCTTTGTATGTTCCTGAGATGCATCTGCCTTGGTTATTTTTTCTGTTACTGTGATAAAATACCCTGACAAAAACCACTTCAGGAAGGAAGGGCTTATTTTAGCTCACAGTTTAAGGTTCAGACCGTCATGGTGGAGAAGTTAGGGCAGTAGACTTTGAAGCAGCTGCTCACATCACATGGGCAGTCAACAAAGCAGAGTGCGATGAATGCTCGTACTCAGCTAGCTTCCTCCTTTCCCTTCAGTCCAGGACCCAAGCCAGGAAATGGGGTCCCCTACCTGCAGGGGTATGGTCTTCTCACTTCAGTTAACCTAATCAAGATAACCCCCAACAGTTGTCCTGGAGGCTTGTGCCAGGAGGTTATGCTAGGTCCCAGTAAATTGACGGTCACTAACCATCACAGCATCTCTATTTTGAGCATACAATTTATAATGTACATACCGGTCAGTGTATTAGTCCATCTGTTTCTGCCTCGTGTTACCCTTTTTATCTACACCCCACCCATCCACCCCCGTTTTCCTATTTTTCTTACTTTTCCAAACAGGTTTTGAGTATAGCTTGGTTGTTTCTGTAATGTGTTCCATTGTCTCTTCTATCAGAATCAATTGGAGGATTTTAGATTTTAGTGTGCTTTAGCTCCCCCATTAAGGTCAGAATATAAGAGCTGTTAATGTCTGTGCATGTGTGATTTCTGCTGTATTGCTGATGTTCTGTCCCACAGTGTCTGATTGTTTACCCTACTTTCTTCAGTCTTACGAAATGTGGGTCAAAGGTAGATGTGTGCCTCAGTAGATGCTTCCCAGTTTAAAATATTCTGGGTTTTTGTTTTGTTCTGTTTTTGTCAGTGCTAGGGATCAAACCCAGGACCTTGCACATGGTAACAAGTGTTCTAACACTGAGCAACGTGCTCAGTCCCAAGATAATCTCTGTGAAGAGTACTTGTCTTGCTTGCAACATTAAGAGCTATGTTAACGACAGATGCATTTGCTTCTTAAGGAAAAGAAGTTCTTTTTAATCAAGGTGATCATGCTAGTTGAAGTCCTTAAGAAAAGTGCCTTGCACAACACCGGTGCACTCAAATACATGCAGGAAATACACTCATACACATAAAAATAGTAAATAGAATATTAAAGAAGAAAAGTGCCTGTCGGGCCAGCGAGGTAACTCAACAGGTAAAGGCACTTAGTGCCAAGCCTGACAAGTTGAGTTTAATTCCTGGAACCCACACATTGGAAGAAGGAGCTTCCACATTCATGCCCTGGCATGCATACATGCCACATGCAAATGTTAAAAAAAAAAAAAAGAGAATGCACCTGCCAACTGTTTTCAGAAAGATTAGCTTTAGTTTACTTTTTAAAGTGCAGTTGTGCTTCATTTAAGATATGGAGATAAGGTTCTGAGAAATGCATCATTAGGTGATTTCATTGCTGTGCAGACATCATAGTACACTGAGATTAAAATATCCAGTTGTGATATAATCTTATGAGTCCACCAATGAATATGCGAACGTGCAATATCATCCTTGACCAAAGCATGGTATGCAACACATGTCTGTGTGGTTAGATCATGAAACTTTAAACTTTATAAACCTAACTATAATTAATTGCCTTTGCAAATGATAGAAAAGGAGCCAAACAAAAAGGGAAATACACTGTAATCTGTCTACCTTTTTAGAGTCACAAGAGTGTTCAGGAACAAACTCAAGTAGAGACAGACCATGCATGAACAGAACTGATGGAAGTGAGAATGAAGACGATCCACCTGACCATAAGCCCAGCAAGCTGAAGAGAAGGTTGGTGCATATTACCTGACCTGCCAGCACTGCTAATACTATAAGGAAAGAAGTAGCATCTGTTGGGAAGATGCTAAACATTTAGACCCGAGGTCATATCCCAATTCTAAACATTTCTTAGTTCCACATCTATAAAATGGGACTGATAGGCGCTAGGCATGGTTGTACACACCTTTAATCCCAGCGCTGGGGAGGCAGTGGCAGGTGGATCTCTGTGAGGTGGAGGCCAGCCTGGTCTACATAGTGAGTTCCAGGCAGTATGGGGCTGTAGGAGACCCTGTCAAAAAAAAAAATTGGACTGATGGCATTTTTTGTGAGGTCATTAGGTTGACTGAGCTGCCGTGCAGTGTATCTGACACTTAGTAGCTATCGTATTGTAAATAATATGGAAAGGATGGATCACAATACAGTTTGAACATGAGGTAGAAATATGTCATCCTCTGATAGGATATAAGGCATTCCACATAAGACTTTTCATTCTATATAGTTCCCAGATAAATGCTAAGCAAGCTCTGATGTCTCAAAAAGCTATTGCTGCATTGTCTTGTCTTAGTAAACTTGATTTGTTAATTGCCCCATTATTTCCTGTTAGTTCCTTGAGGCAGAGGAATGGACTTAAATTCCCAAGATTCAGTAGGTACTCAATAAAATATTCTGTGAGTTTAGGTTACATGAAAAGACAAAGTTTCTAAGAATTATTTCTTGCTGTATTTATTTCTATTTGGTGCTGTGGCCCAGATAGTCAGAATTTCTAAATTTCTAAAAGGTTCCTGTATAAAGCACTTTTTGTCTCTGTAACAAAATATCTTGACAAAAAACAGGCAAGGAAAGATTCACAGTTGAAGTATACAGTTCCATCAAGGAAGGGGAGGCTTGGCCTTGGGAGCAACTCCAGGCCTGAGCTACTGGTCACATTGTATCTCAGTCAGGCAGCAGAGAGAGAAGGGCTAGTTCCATCTTGCTTTCTCCTGTCTCGTCTTTATTCTGCCTGGGACCCCAGCCAATTAGATGATACCACCCATATTCAGGATGGGTCTTCTCTTCTTAATTAAACCTCTAGAGACATCCTCACAAGCATATCCAGAGGTGTGTATCTTCTAGGTGATTCTAAGTTCAGTTAGTCTCAAGATTTTGAGTGCTTGTTACTGTGCTCCCAACACCACTGGGTACTTTAGATTATTTGGGAAATCCTGGTTAAAGTACTTTTTCCCCAGACTTCCTGGTTTTTTGAGGTACTCTGTGACTCTAAAGGTAATGGCTTATAACTGCTTCCTTTTCTGTTTCTTTAGCCATGAGCTGGACATTGATGAAACCCCAGATTTAAACATCGATGACAATGGTCTCCTTCTTGGATTCAAGCATGGCTCAGGACAGAAGTAATTCTTCATAAAAACTATTGCCTTCCAGAAATCTAGCCACCTTAAATTCTTTGGTATTTATGTAAATAATACAGCACTGTATTTGATAGCATTTGAGGTTTTTTTTTTTTTTTAAACTTTCTTCTTTGATTTATTTATTTATTGTTATGGGGCTTTTGGCTACTCTAACATTTCCCCCTCTGAAGAGGTATCCCTAAAATCTTTAAAAGATTAGATATAAGCTCCCAAATACTTTGGACATTTTTGGCCTTTGGAACAGAGTGTGTTGCTAACAGGCCCAAGGGCATTTTGACTTTTAGCCAAGAAACTGGCTACTTTTCTTTAGGGTCTTTTTTACCCTAACGGCCTAGCCAATTCCTGCTCCTATTCTTATCACACCATCCTCTGAAGGGGTTACCCAAATTGCCAGTAGGGAATCGGGACACAGACTGCTCTGGCTTCTTCCATGTTGAACGGGATGCAGGGTGAGGCAATTGGAGTACCCCTTCAGTAGGTCTATCTAAAAGACTCCCAAATTGCATAACTCTTATCTCTGGGGGGCAAAAAAGTCCTTGAATTGTGACTAGGAGATGTGAAGGAGAAGTAAAAGCAAGAGTAATTAGCATTGTAAGTTCTAGACAGGGAACTAGGAAAAAATCAGAACAGGGCAATTTTAAAATGTTCTTATGAGAGTCCATTGGAATTTCTTGACAGGGGCTTCCAAAAGCATCCCTGTATTGGGTTCCTCATTTTTCTTTTGTCTTCCAATGCTGGACTCTAGAGTGATGGATTCAGAATTTGCTTTCAGGTATTTTGATAGCTGTTGGAGTGGTTAGAATCAGTGTCAGTTCCTTCTCAAAGGCTTCACGTGAGGGCAGGATCCGTGAGGGCAGGATCCGGGGGCGCTCAGCCAGTCCCCTGTGTTCTCAGGCCCTCTGCCAGAGGGAAGCCCGAGGGAGGCCAGAATTCAGCACTCTCTGGAGGTCTCAGCATTTGAGATCTTATCATTAAAACTCACAGTAGAGGTCTTTGATACATTCACTTTATTAACTCAGCTACACTTCATAGCCCCCAGATGTTATTCCGGTCCATTTCACAGATAAAGCAGCTCACAGATGTTTTGACTTAGGATCATATTTCATAGATGGAGTTTAAGTCCAGTTCTTAGAACTTGTAAGCACGGTTCCCACCTAGCATCTCATAGATCTGTTCCTCTGTGCCTCTAAAGACAAGCAAACATACCATGTAGCAAACTGAAAAATCAAATGTTGCTCAGCTATGTGCATGTATATATATTACTTCTGTTTTTCTGAATCGCTGAAGTAGGATAACCTACAGCTTGCTTTTCTCTTAGCAAGGTAAATGTGTGATACACAATGACCTAATCCTTTCAATGGGAGCCTTGTATTTAGTTCACCATTCACATTAGCAATATCTAGGTTGTTTGCGAAGATCTAAGCACACTGTCTTGTCACAAGGTTATCACGTTCATCAGTTGTTCTTTCCTTTTTCTTTCTGGAGTATTCCATCGTGTGGATATACCAAAATTTGTTTAGCCACTTACCTATTAAAGGGCATTTGAATTGTTCTGGTGTTTTGCTATTACACATAAAGTATTTATATATAGAAGTCTAAGTTTCCTCTGGGTTAAAAACCGAAACATTAAGTACAAGAGAAATATGAATAAGTAGATAATTTCATCTCCTGTGAAGGAAGACTGAACTGAGTAGGGAAGACAGGGTCTGTATATACTATTTGGATCAGCTTCTCCTAGTCTGAGATTTTTGTTTCTAAGGGTTTAGACTTACTGTCCTACTTACCCTATATTAGTTAGGAAATTTTAATAGATAATTCACATCATGAGTTCAGCAGGAAAAGAAAATGGAAATGTCTCATGATTAACATAAACTGAATCCAAGTTAGTTCAAGAGTACATGGTTATAGATTAAAATCCTATAAATAGATTCTGAAAGTTAGCTTCTGGAGTTACTTCCTTTAGATACTTAAAGACATAGTTCATAAAATCATTTAAGGCTAAAGATGATAGTTTAGTAGCATATAGAAAAGATTTTTAAATTCCTATCAGCGAGATTTCTATGCACATGTGTTTTGGTTTTATTGTTGTTGGTTTGATTTGGGGGATTTTGTTTGTCTATCTGTTTGGTTTTGGTCTTTTTTTCAGACACAGTCTCCCTGTAGCCCCAGCTGGCTGGAACTTGCTATACAGACCAATCTGGCCTCTGCCTCACAAGTGCTGGGACACCACCATGCCCAGTAATGCACATGTAATTTTATTTGAAAAATCATTGAGTAGCTCTGGCCTGTATATACTCCTATAGATAAATTTCATTACTTAGGATTTAACTTTTGTCTTTTTATTTAGAACCCGCAGTTCTACTTACAAGAGAATAAGATTATTTTTTATTACCAAGGTTCTAACATGATTGAAAGAAAATTTTGTGAGGCTTGATACAAAGAAGGCTTTACAGCACACATATCTTTTAGGACTAGAAAAATTCAGGTGATTAGATCAGATTTGCTCTAATCATTTTGGTAATAGGCGTTTGCATCTCTTACAAGTAAGTACAGATTGCTCTAGGCTAAAAATTCAATGGTCATTCTTAGCATTAATTTGAACATGTCTAAATATGTTTAAGACCTTTAGCATTATTCTGCTTTAAGAAAAGTATCCCTAACAAGGGAATATTGTCCCTGATGCTTTGTTTGTTTGCTCTATGGCTGTTTACTGCAGTCTGTATATAATTTCTACTTTCTACTCTACATTGGAAGCATTCTAGTTGTGATGGTACATGCCTGAATCCCAACATTCAAGGGGTCTGAGGCAGGAGCATCAAGAGTTCAAGGTGAACCTGAGTTACATAGTGTAACGCTATCTCAACCAAAGAAATAATAACCTTGTTTTTCCCATCTTTGGTAACATAAAGTCTAGACTGTAAGCTTTTATGCACTTTGTACTTGATTTCATCACTTTCACATACTAATAAAATTAAAGTGGCGGCTATTAGTAGCAAAATTTGTTTGATTCCTGTAAGGAAACAAATTTCCTAGAACTTAAGATACGAGTAATTTCTTTCGATCTGATCACAGATACGGTGGAATTTCAAATTTCAGTCATCGACAGGTCAGGTATCTGGAGAAGAATGTGAAATACACGTCGAAGTACCTGGACATGCGCAGGCAGATAAAGATGAAAAACAAGCACATCTTGTTTACTGAAGAGTCAGAAAAACCACTTTTTAAGAAGAGTAAAGCTCTCAGTAAGGTGTGTATAAATTTTCTTTTGGACTTAGAAAGATGAAACCATATTTTATAAGCTTAACGCCTTAATATTGTATTCAAAGGGAAAGCTGCTTTTTTCAGGATAGAAGGATACCTAAAATTGTTTTCCACATACTTTATCTAGGTATATAGTTTGTAAAGTATATTTGGAAAAAAAAAAAAGAAAATTGTGGTAATGTGAAAAAAAGATGTTTGAAAACGATATAAAGTTTTAGTATGTAGGGAGATGTATCAGTTAAGTTGACTTGCCTGTAAACTAACAGACAAGGACAGGGGGAATTTCTTGTCTGATCCCCACAAGGTAGGACACCAGTAGTCCAAATTCTGATGGAGCTTTTACTGCAAGCCTCAATTCTGAGCTCAGCCAAAGAGGACTCATCCCACTTTGAAATAGGCTCAGCCCGTGGGTGTGAAACAAGGCAGGTTCATTCTTCACGGGGTAACCTGAAAGCTTGGGCTTTGCTTTGCCTGCTGTTCAAGTGATAAGAAACAGAAGTAACTAGAACATGGTGTGGTTTGTTGAGTGTTCCTGCTTTCTAGGGCAAAGAGCATTTCTGCTGAGTAAAGCCTTCACAGCACTCACTGCACCACCAGCCCCATGTGAGAACAGGAGAGTGGAATCTCAGCAGCTCTGTCTCACTATCCGGTAACTGCTGAGTAAAGCCTTCACAGCACTCACTGCACCACCAGCCCCATGTGAGAACAGGAGAGTGGAATCTCAGCAGCTCTGTCTCACTATCCGGTAACTGCTGAGTAAAGCCTTCACAGCACTCACTGCACCACCAGCCCCATGTGAGAACAGGAGAGTGGAATCTCAGCAGCTCTGTCTCACTATCCGGTAACTGCTGAGTAAAGCCTTCACAGCACTCACTGCACCACCAGCCCCATGTGAGAACAGGACAGTGGAATCTCAGCAGCTCTGTCTCACTATCCGGTACACTAGGCTCCTGACTTCAGCATACTTGCAAAGCATACTGCAAATTGATGGCTTCGTTTTTTTATTATATTTCAGTGTGATAGACTGCTGGTGATATTTTAATGAATATTTTAAGAGTCTTTGTTACCTATGAGGCATGGCCTGGTATCAGATTTGTGGGACTTTCTGTAATGTGTTGGGTATAATAGTTGCCTTATGTGCACTTGTAGATGAGTACAAAAACAGATGCGGCTGCCGTATCCTTAGTTCTCTCATTAGGTATATAAAGATTCCCTCAAAGGAAAATTGTCCTTGTTGCCCATCATGTGTCTGCCACTCATTGAAATTTCCTCATTCTTTTTTATAATTTTATTTTATGTGTATGAATGTATTTCTTGCATGTATGTAAGTGCACCCGTGTCATACAATGCCTGCAGAGGTCAGAACAGGGTGTCAGATCTCCAGGAACTGGAGTTAAGACAGTTGTTAACTGCCATGTAGGTGAGGTACTGGGAATCAAACCTGGGTCCTCTGCAAGAGCAGTCAGTGCTCTTAACTGCTGAGCCAACTCTCCAGCCCATGAAATTTCCTCATTCTTAAGGTCATAAAGACCTGATGTGAAGAAGGTTCCATTATACAGCAGATGCAGGGAAGTGTGTTGTCCAACTTTGGGCTGCCTTGTTAACATATCAACAAATAAAACTACTTTGTCAGCTCTGCTATTTTATTAAAGGACTACTCATTCTTTCTAAGATCTCTGATTTTATTTTTTAAAGACATTAGCAGTATTCTTTAATGTCATATAATATTTAACATAGGTTGTAGCTTGGCTATTGCAGAAAGCACTTGATAAAAGACTAAAATTAATGAGTCAACAATAAGCAGGTACATTTGTGATGACGATCTCATAACACAACTCTGTTAGAATCCTCTGTGGAAAGCTACTGGGCAGTTTGGCTTTCTCCTCTTAGTGTTCATTTATAGCTAGAAGTGCTTAATCTCCTTTCTTCCTTTTAAAAAAGTCCTTGATAAGGTCATAGGATGCTCAGATTCCAATTAGCCCAGAATTACTTGTATCTTGTGTGATACATTATATTTCTCCAGGCAAATAATTATGACACAGCCTGTAGATCAAGTCACAAATAGTAAAAAGGGAGAAGATTCTGGTTTATACTTAATTCGTGTTCATGATGGTATCTTCAATTTTCAGGTAGAAAAATTCCTAAAATGGGTTAATGAGCCAGTAGGTGAGGAGTCCTCACAGGAGTCATTTTCTCATAACAAAGTACAAGACGCCTGCACAAGCAGTGACTCAGAGGAACAAGACATGTCTGTTGAAAAAGCTGATGGCCTGATGGAGACTAGGAGTCCAGAACCTGAAAAATGTCAGACCATCTCTTCAGCCAGTGAACTTGAAACGGAAAAGAATGAAGGAGACACCATGATAGCAGCTGATCCAGACTGTACGACTGAAGAGAGAGACCCTCCCCAGGGAGAAAAGGAAGGCGAGAGTAAGTTTGCTGCCACTTGCCTGAGGATTTCTGCAAGCACATTTTCCTTTGATATGTTTTTTTCTAATTTCCATTTTTGTATCATTTATGCCTTAGGATTCGTTGTTTTAATTTAAATGGAGAAAAGGAATATTAAGTTAAACAAGCTAATTTGCTGTAATTGGGCACTCTTCACTTTGGGCTAATAAGCAAGTGGGATAAAATCAGAGTAAATGTGGGGAAACTGCATCTACCATGGGCCTTGATCTCTGCTGCCATTCTGTCCGCTGGGCTGACAGTTTACTCTTGAAACATGAGGCTCATGTTTCTCTTTGATAGTTCTTTGTTTTTGTGGTAGTCTGGAGCTTTTTGATGATACATTGACAAAATTTATTCACAGTAGTTGGCTTCAATGAATGGAAATATTAACATTTTCACATTATATCCTTTTGTATGTTTGAATTTTATAGCCAAAGTTCTTTTATAAAGATGGAAATAGTCAATGGAACATTGAGACTAAATACACTTTTACTTAATTTAGTATTAATTTTGTTGAACTATTTCACATTTGTCCTTCTGAAACAACTATATTACAATCCTTCATTATTTCTCTCTTAATTTAGTACTCAATAAACTAGCTTACTTTGATTTTTTTTCCTTTGTGTGAATATGTGCTTATAATCTTCATATCACACATCTCTGCTTTTCTTAAACCACATACTTCAAGGATTTTTTTATTATTATTATTATCAATGTTACAGCAACTTCTCATTCTCTGTCTCTCTCTGTCTCTCTCTGTCTCTCTGTCTCTCTCTCTCTCTCTCTCTCTCTCTCTCTCTCTCTG